GAGAGGAAATAGTTAAGAAGCATATAAATACAATGATACACAGAGCATGTTTGTTTGACATTCTAAAAGTCATGGATCCTATCTGCCATACCATCAGTCAGTTGACAGACAGAAGTTGTGCAGTAGGAGTAGCTAGGATCGGAGTAGCACCGGTGGGATGAGCAACCGAGACTCGTCGCGGATCCCGGCAGACACGACAGGATCGGATGGATGATGGGATTGGGATGGGAACGGGGATGAGATGACGCTGCAAGTTGCATTTATGCAACTAGTGGTGGTGGTGGTTGTCATTCTAGCTGAACAAATCAGAGACCAGGGTGTTCTTTCCAGCGTTGGATTGGACCCTTGATGCCATTGCCATTGACATGTGTTTGTTGGGGAAGAGGGGGGAGAAAGGAGGAGATGGAGAAGCTTGCATTAATTGCACCTCCAAATCCAATCCTCCACGGCTCTGCTCAAAGGAAGCAGACAGTCACTCTTTCAGCTGATGAGACCGACCAAAGCAAGCAGCCAATTCGTGGCCGGGCGAGCTCGCGAGGCTTGGATGGATGATTCGTCGAATCGGGCGCTCTCGCACTCCTCTCATCGCTTCCAGATTCAGAGTGCAGGTGAGGTGGTGGGGATGCGCTTTGCGGCGGCGAGGGAGGAGGCGGCGGCGGACGGCGGGTAGGACGAAGGCCACCCAGATCAAACTGATCCAGGGACCTATATGCAATTATCTGGATCGCGATTACCTACCAGGCGGGTCATTGGCAAGAACTAGGAGTGACACGAAAATGCTCAGGCAAGGCAAGGCCGCCGGCGGCCGCCGCCGTCGTCTATCCCGCTCTCGCTCTCCGTCAAATCCGCGAGCCCAGCCATCTCCTCCCGGTACCCTCACGCGCTGCGTCCGCTCGTGGCCCGGCATGCTGCCGCCGCCCCGCGGCTGCGCTATTGCCTCCCCGCGGTGCCCGTACTAGCTTCCTCAGGGACGGCGGCGGCCCGCGGCCGCGGCGGCGTGGCCCCGCCGTTGCGAAAGAGTTCACAGCTCGATCTCAAGCTGAGCAAGTGAGCATGCGGATCACTTCCTAACCTTTTCCTCTTTTTTTCACTACTAGTTTCTTCCTCTGTGTATCCTTCGCCACTATCGATCGGCAGTAATAGCCTCAGAAAATATGAATGCCGTCGCATAACCTTTTCTTTCTTTATTTTTCAAAAAAAAAAAATCGATTTTCAGACAAGGATTCTGTTCAAGTAAGGCGGATGCCAATCTCGCTATAACTGTTTAATCAGGATGAACATTGGCGACAAGACAAGAGCTTCCGCAGACCAATAATATATGAGGTATCATATCATCACTATCATCTCCTTGTGAAACTGCTACCTGAATCTTTTCCATGCTCCAACCAATAATTTGGAGGCTCCTGTAGTCTCACAGTTCTAAAGATCAGACAACAAATCAGATCAGGAGCAACCAGACGGCCACCATCATTGTGATCCTGAACCTTATGCGGCGGTGTTCAGCACAAGTCAACAAAAGCTTCTGATCAGGTCCACTTATGTCGTCCTGGAAAAATGGCATGGAATTGAAATGCACATCAGACATCGACATGTTTTGCTATCTGCATCGCCTGTCAATCAATATGCAAACCGCCTACTCCTTAACCACTAAGCAAGAGATATGTGCTAAAGGGAAAGGGGTTATACATATATTCCGGTGGTAGCTACTACTGTTATATACTATATCATGATTTCTCTGATGGGATGGGATAGTACTCTTAGATAGCTTGATGAGTAAACAAGCGATGATGATATGAGATTAGTAGGCGGGCCAATCATGGTAGAATGGAACTTGCTTAGGGCTAGCTAGCGGCCTACTTAATAGGTTTAATTGTGCTTTGCGCCGATTAGCGATATTCCTTGATACAATACAAGAGATGATGTCCTGATAAAGAAGATGCATATATGCAAGTGGTAATAAAGCTGACTGGTGAAAAGTAGAGTGGCTTTCTAGTAAAGCTTCTTGTGTTACATGCATGTAAAGAATAGATGCTGGACGACATTATTATGTTAATAACATGGGCATGTGAGGAGCTGTCATTGTATAGAGAGGATCAAGAACAATGCAACAGTTACCTTTCCTTGGTTTTGTAAGTGATAGTACGATTCGATCGATCCTTAGGAGTCTACCTTTTGTTTTCAAATGTAGATTTTGAGGCATATGTAGGCATCATGGATCTTATGCCTTGCTTCTACATGTACACAAAACCAAGAATAGATAACCCCACTTGTCAGCAGCGGCGGACCCAGAAAATATTTCAGGGGGGGCTGAACAACACTGTTATTCGATCTTAAGTCTCAGCCCCCCCTACGCTATAGAACTTTGCCTAAAAAATTATGGGGGCTCCACAGGGGTTCCACTACTGTGATATGGGTAGGGGGGCTTGAGCCCCCGCTGTGTCCGCCCCTGCTTGTCAAGTAGATTGGTCCAGTTCATATGTAACATATAGCTAGGTAGTACAGATTCTTTTGTTATGGTGAAAATTCTTGTCGTGTAGAGCAGAACCCAAGAACCGTGCAAAATTACTTTACCCAAAGTAAGTTATCGCTTTTTCACAACCATAAAATGTCCCCGACTTTATTCCTAAAGTAGTCGAATAAAGGAATGCTGTAACCAGAAAATGCACTTTTCATTGTGGACAATAAGCAGTTAAGCACTAACGTTTTGATGCGCTTAAAGAATTGCGCCTTTCTTTTGGCCTATATTTCTGAGTAGAAATCTTCCTCATTTCAAAAATTATGCATGGCTGACTAATGTACTGGTAGCTATTCTACACTAGCAGCTCAGAATGTGTAGCACAACAGGAACTAGTGCACAGTTGATTTGCAGTTGGATCACCACTTGTATATGAGAGTTGAGAGGTAACGTCAACATCTATCACTAGTTCACTACTAGTCTTCCATTATAGAAAGGATAGATTATGCTCTAATTTTGGATTTTTCTTTTCAAGAAGATGACATTCACTATGGTGGGGATACAATAAGGATCATCTCTTCAGATGGTACTTATATAATGGAATTTAACATATTTTGTTCACAACAAAGCTCTTCTCTTTTTCATTTATTATTTTTGGAAGGGCAATGAGCACAAGATTTCAGGCTCACCAGCTCTCTTTAAAAGTATATACATGAAACTGTGAAAGAAAAGAATGTAAGCATCGTGATTCTTGAGATATGTTCAGGTTGAGTGTACAGTTATGTATAACTTCCTAGCAAATTGTCAGCACGACTCTCAGAAAAAAAGGATAAATATTTGGTTAGGAAAAAAAGATTTATTTGTAATGAGAAATATTCTTTTCAATTTGACTCACACAACAAGCGATATTGTTCTAGTGGTTGGTAACTGTTGCAGCTTTTGTTGGTTCTCTGTAAATTGAACAACTTGTTGGTTGACTAGTATGCTGATAATTCTCTTTTTTAAGAAAATGGCAGGAGTTTTGCCTTGCATTAAAGTAGAGAAAAAACGAAATAAGTTTTGCCCCTAGGGGCCACTAGTATGCTGATAGCTGATCTCAAAATATGCTGATACATAAGGAACTAGTGCATATTTCATTTGCGGGTAGATTACTAAGTGATCTTGTTAATGTTCTTTGTATCCTTTGTTTCCTGAATTCTGTTGCTTAAACACTCCTTTTTTTCTTCTTCTATTATTAATATATTTTAACCAGTAGGGGGCAACCCCTCCTGTTTCTTCAAAGAAAAAAAAGAAACATCGGTATCTATGTCAATACTTTTCACTGCATATATATATAAGACCGACTTCTAGTTTCAAGGTTTTATTTTCAAGAAAATGGCATTCACTATGCTGGGAGCACAAACAGGAATGCTCGATAAACTCTGAAATAGCATGTGTTTTTTAAGAAATGGGATCAAATATTTTTCACAAGCATATATAAGCTTGCACTCACACAGAAATAATAACAGGTTCTCTATCTCTCTCTCTCTCTCTCTCTCTGAAACCTTACATGATGCAATGGAGCAAAAGAAAGAAAGCATCTTGAGACACATGTTCATGGCCAGTGTTATTACAGTTACCTAAAAGTGCCTGCCAAATTTGCTGCAGGACAAGGCAAAAGCATAGCTCCAAGCATCACTTTCAGGAAAAAAACCGAAGTGGAGTGGACTGAACTTTCAGTTGGAGCTCCAGTAGCCAGCCACTGTGTCCCCCACACAACACAAAGGTCAGACAAAACCATACAAGCAAGAAGCAACTCTTGCAAACGATAAGGAGATGAACCACTCGCATGCATATCGATCAGTGCCGTGCACTCAAATCTCTTGCTGAAACTGCATGAACTGATGCGGGCACGTGTCGCGCATTGCGATTATTCTCTCCATGCTTCAACAATTCCCCTTGTGCTTCAACTGAAAATATGCTGCATATGTAGTTCGATCTGTTTTTCTATCAACAAACGGATCAGAGATCCTGCCTTCGTTTCAGAAAAAAAGGGGGGCAAAACTTGACCCTAAATTGTTACATGAACTTGATACTTGTTTCTTTTTTCTTTATGGTACTACTGGATCCTCGAAACTGCAGGTCTATGATCTATGCAATGTTCAGAGCTCCAAACATGCAATGCATTCCCTTAATCAATTTTCTTTCAGTACTAGGCTTTATGTAAGGTCAGAGAGTTACTCTTTACATATTCTTTTTAGAGTTTTACTTGCACATATATGGCTTATCATTTGATTGTTCATATATACTTTTTGTTAGTCCCCCACTAGCTCACTTTAGGAGTACTTAACAAGCACAAAGCCACCTAGCTTTCTTTCTCATCATCTCTGTGCCCTTTAATTGTTCCATCCATCCATCACAGTTACCTCAACACCATAAAGAGCCACAAGCTAGCTCCTCTCCCACAAACACTCACCTGCTCTGCACACACACACACACACACCACGCACACGCGCGCACACAAGTTGTATGTGCTAGAGCTGCAGCTAGCTTGGCTTCAGAGGCCATGGAGAGCTCTTCAGCTGCACAAAGGCTGAAACTGAAACAGGAGCAGGCAGACGATTGCAGCAAGATGCAGGGAAGTCGTGTCCTGATGAGCAGCCTTGAGCTCAGGCTGGGCATCTCTTCAAACAATGGCGCTGGCGGCTGTGGCAGTGGCAGTGATCCATGGCTTGGTGTTGGAGTGCACCCATGGAGCCTTGCTGCCCGGCAAGCAGAGAAGGTAGCCCTGGAGCAAGACCACCAGCGGCCTCCGCAGCAGCTGGTGGGATGGCCACCGGTGGGCGCGTTCCGCAGGAGCCACCTGCAGGCAGGCACAAAGGCCGTGGAGGAACCGACGAGCAAGGTGAAGTCCGGCGGCGAGAGGCCGGCGCCGGCAGCCACCATGTTCGTGAAGGTCAACATGGAGGGCTGCGCCGTCGGGAGGAAGGTGGACCTGCAGGCTCACCGCGGGTACGCGTCGCTGTCGCGCGCACTGCAGGCCATGTTCCATGGCTTCCTGTCAGGTCAGGGCAGAGCACGCACCCCTCGTCTTGCTTTGGGCATGTATGTCTCGATCACCATGAGATGTGAATGTGATGGATGGATGTTGTGTGTTGTCCTGCCTTTTCAGATGGTCAGTGGAGGATCGCTGGGAGAGAGGATGACGACGACGACGATGAGCAGCCGGAGCCGACGCAGAAGGGGGCCAATAAGAGCAACAAGAAGGCGTACATCCTTCTGTACGAGGACAACGAGGGCGACCGGATGCTCGTCGGCGACGTGCCGTGGGAGTAAGTTGTCGTCGTTCCTGTTCTTTTGCACGTACGCTGGTAGAGGTGTGTTAGTTGAGGTCGTCGTCGATCGATGCTGAGCTTTGTTTGGACCATGGTCCATGGATGATGGATGTTGCAGGCTGTTCATGGCTTCGGTGAAGAGGCTCTACATCGCACAGGACCCCAGGAAGACGAAGAACTAGCTAAGCTAGCTAGGGCCTAGGAGAGACGTTGCTAGCTGCCTTATTTATTATTTCTAATCTACATAGCTCGAAGCAGATAGCAACAGTGTATGCTAGTGTTTAACTACCTTCCCCTCTTCAATTATGTAATCCTGTCCAGCATCAATTCATATACAGCGCGTAGTAGGCATCTCTAATCCAATATTAATATATAGGAAGTTTTGCTTAATGTCTCAGACTTTGGTGAATTATTAATCAATTAGATAATGATGATGAGTTATTGATGGTTCTAAATGAAACCGGCGGCGTTGTCATAAAACCTATCCAGGTTAGACTCGATTATGAGCCACCCAACCCAACCAACTCGTTCGGAAAAAAAAAAAACCGACCTGACCTGCCAGCATATCAGGTTGGGTTTGAGTCATGATTTTCGATCAGTGACCTAACCTAACCCGTAATAACCTGAAATAAAGTAGAAAATAATAAGAAATAGCTCGGCCTGCCCTGGCCCGCCGGTGCATCGGATTAGCACTACTACTGTAAACTTAACCGAGGCGGGCATAATAGATTAACGGAGGCGGGCAAACCATCCGCCTTCGACAAAAGGTAACGGTTAATCCGGTCTTAACGGAGACGGTGGGTCTGAGCGCCTCCGTTAATTTATTAACTGAGGCGGTTGCCATAACGAAACCGCCTCGGTTAATACATATTAACCGAGGCGGTTACTCTAAGGTGCCCGCCTCCATTAACTTATTAACCGAGGCGGGCGAATAAAGTCGTCTGCCTCCGTTAAAGCATTAACGGAGGCGGTTGTTATTAACTGCCCGCCTCCATTAACGATTTTCTAGATAAAAAAAATACTTTTTTGAAATTGAATTTAATTTTAATTTGAATATGAATTACGCAAATTAAACATAGACAACAAAGCAGAAAATACGCATATAGAGGACAAACATATATTACATTCATTCATGTGTCGTCCTTATCGTACCACGAACCGAACCAAACGTTAAGTTGTTACACATATTACATGCATGTCTTCCTTATCGTACCACAAACATATATCACATTCATACATGCAACTAAGATCACCGCTTATTTAATCAAAACATGCTCGGCAACTTGTAATCCCTCATGTCTAGCATGGTGCTCCTCTCGTACTTCTCTGCGGTCGCTAACTCGCTCTCCTAGTTGAAGAACGATCACCCAACATGCACGCAGGAGTCCGTGAGAAACTTACATATGTCTGCTACTGTTTGATCCGTTTTCTTATGGTCAAACTTCTCCTTCCGCCACCAACCTTTTGATTTCTTGAGCTGCCGCCAGTTTTCGTTGAATTTGCTGCACGCTCTGAGATACTCGCAAACGTACTATCCATGTAATACTGTTCCAGGTGATTGTTTGGCGCACTGCACGATATATAACACACAATCATTACAACATATCGAGAGCATGCACAATGTAATATCACTTACGACTTTTGATACGTACCGGGAAATCTCGCCTGATTTTCAGTGTTGTGCCATTCTTCTTCTTCTTCTTCTTCTTCTTCTTCTCAGATCTTCGATCCAAGCACTCGGGGTCTTGCACGTACTTCTTGTAAGTGCTGTACGAAAACCACTAGTGTCAACGACAATGTAACATCATGTATGTTAAGGGTAAAAGAATAAGTACCGTCACTTACTATCGCAGTACGCTTTCAAAATCCTTGCACCCTTCTTTATTTGTATCCCTCAGAGAGTCCAATACAACTGCCCTTCCATCCTGAGGATAGATTAGGAATGCAATCCAGTGGCCCATGATGCCCCTGCTCCACCATTCAAACAATACAATTTTGAAATCTACAAATATGAAAAGTGGAGATCCCAGTTGCTATATGTTGCAAGTATCCTTTCGACTTACCCAAACCGGTAGGCGGCAAGTATACACCGATGTTCCTCGACCTTCTTCATGGCTCTGTACACGTACGTTCCCACGTTATACTTCAATTCGTTGCGCATTTCTTTCCAGATTCTCTCTCTCTCTCTCTCTCTCTCTCTCTCTTCTTGCGGGTTCAAGTTCACCAGCCTCGGATGAGTTCCGATACATCATAACCCGAGACGACCCTCTGGGTAATATGCATCGGAGAGAGGTAAATAATATTTCTGCCCAATTGCTTGCATACATAGGACTGCATCCTGTAAGGACAAGTCGTCATGTCATTATTAGTTTATTCCTATAGTACCTGCAACGAATGAAAGGTGTGAAAGTCATAATGAACTTACAGGGCAAACAAGGTGACTTGAGCGACGTCGAGGTCCTTGCGCCGCAGTACCCTATGCATGTCGTGGAAATCTATGAGGACTTGAGCATCGTCGGGCAAGTGAAAGTACCCCGCTGGCACTTTGACAATGAAACTGCGCAGGCCTACTTTCACCACCTCCATGTACCAGAGATGGAACCTCCATACCTTCCACGGCTCCTCCTGTACGAGCTGGCCCAAGGTCACCATGAACTTCCCATGCTCGTAGTTGTCGGGGCAATCATCGGAAAGGGGCCAATTCGACACTGGTGTTGGCGGCCTGTGCTTGAGATATTGGGGAGTGAAAAAATCTCCTAGCATCTCCGCATAAAAATTATACTTTAACTATGCTTGCCAGAAGCATACCTTTCAAATTTGGTTGAGCTTGCGTACTCTTTGGCTAAATTGGTGGCCGCCCAACTCGTCTTGGTGTGGTGGGCGGGTAGGGACTCTTCTTCTGTAGGATTTCTCGGCGGGGGAGGACATTGCCTTGTGTGCTCCTTCGGATCACTTGCAGGCAGTGTATCAGTGCCCTGTGCTGCCCCTATATCTCCCTGTGGATTGCTCATGCTAGGAGGAGTGCCTAGAGGACTGCTGCCTGGGCCAGTATTGTCGTTGTCACCCGCAGGAGATGGCGAGGATGGTGACGGCGTCGGCTCGTTCAAGATAATCTCGCTGTTATTCGAGAGTACTTCTTCGACGAGTATTAGAGTAGAGTAGTAGTAAGTGTAGTAGTAGGGATAGAGTAGTAGAGTAGAGTAGAGTAGAGTAGTAGAGAGCATCAGCCAGCACCAGCAGCTAGCACTAGCAGTATAAGAAAAAATTGACAGCACCAGCACCAGCAGCTAGCACTAGCAGCCAGCACCAGCAGCTAGTAGTACTAGTAGAGTAGTAGTAGTAGGAGGAGACAGTAGGAGTAGTGTAGAGTAGTAGAAGTAGAGTAGAAGTATAGTAGACAGTAGGAGTAGTGTAGAGTAGGAGTAGCAGTAGAGTACTAGTAGAGGTCATTTAAAAACAATAGTAGTAAAGGAGTAGTAAGACAGTAGTAGTAAATATCAGATTTGATCAACACAGCAGCCAACAGTTAGTAGCTAGAAGTAGCAAGTAGTAGTAGTAGTAGTAAGTAGAAAGTAGTAGAGTAGAGTAAGTGTAGCAGTAGAGTAGTAGTAGAGTAGAGTAAGTGTAGCAGTAGAGTAGTAGTAGTAGAGTAAGAGCAGCAGCCACTTAGGAGTAGTAGTAGGAGCATCACTGAAAGAAGAGTAGCAGTAGGAGTAACAAGTAGAAGTAGGAGCAGCCAGCAAGTAGTAGGAGCAACAGTAGGAGTAAGTGTAGCAGTCCAAGTATAGGACCAGCAACGGTAGATAGAAGGTAATTGTTTTTTTATCCAACATCTATTCAGTAAACTTAGGCACATATCCAACTAGCAGCAGTAGATATATTCAGTTTAGAGTAGCCAAATTCAGTGAAACATAATAGAGCAGCACGTAGTAGGCAAAAAACCAACCAGCAATAGATAGAGCAGTAGCAGGCAAAAATCTAGTGAACCAGTGAACTTAGTGCAGCAGGCAGCCCCATTAGTAGGCAAAAATGACATATGCTCAGTTGAAACATAATAGAGGCATCCTAGGCTGTAACAATCATAGAAAATGACATATGCTCAGTGCTCAGGTTAAAAAATGGCATCATAGGCAGTGGCACATGCTGCTAGGGTACATCACAGGCATCACAGGGAACAAGAAGACGGGGCGCGGAAACCTGGTGAAATGCTCGGCACAGAGCGCACGGTGGTGGATCTCCTCGATCGGCGTGGGGGACAAAGACGTGGGGTGTGGGGAGGATCTCCTCGGTATGGGGGACGAAGAGGCAGGGCGCGGGCACGAAGACGGGGCGCGGGCCAGATCTCCTCGGCGTGGGTGACAGCGACGGCGAGCACAAAATCGGTGGACGGTGATGGCGGCGGTGGCTAGGGTTCGACGAATAGGACACCACAACGGAAGCCGCTAGGGTTCCATGCGGAGAAGAGAGGAGAGCTCCTCGGCACGGAACTTGGCGCACGACGGAGGACCGCGAGCACGATCTCCACTCGGTGGATGACGGTGGCGGCGGCGCAGAAATACGGCAGTCCTTCGGGGTGAGAGAGGCGAGTGGAGACTTAGAAAAATCAGGGGTGAGAACGCTGCACTTATATAGGCGCTGATTAACTGAGGCGGGCATGCACGTACGAGGCCGGCAGGCTCATCTCTCTCGATGTCAATCCTGTTGAGTGGAGCCTCACCACTGTCTTCGTCTTCCCGTCGGCTCCCACCACCGGCTTGGAAGAGAACTTTGAAGAAAACAACACTACAACTTTGAAGATCAAGGATGGAAGGCTCCATATTATACGTGGCATGCCATGCCATTATTGCCAACATGACTTAAGAAGAATTTTGCGATCAAATTATATTTATTTTCAGACACTATAACTCAGCAGTCCTCTAGCTTGAGGCCGACAAAAATAAACAATGTTATTACAATATTAGAGATATCAAGTCATTTAGCTTGTCATTACACATCACCAGATTTGGCACACCAGAAAAGGGAAAGCAAAATAATGGATTCTTCATGTAAACACAGGCTGCCTTTTTATTTTTTTGAAAATCACGTCCTTTGACTATTAATCAATCACCACCGATGCATCAGTATCATGTAGTGCAGGTGCTGCTACAAAGTTTTGGAGGAGGTCAAGCCAAATATGCTCACC